GCTCTTTGCTCCTATGATGCTGCTTGGCCTGCTGTGTTCATCCAGCCCTGCACCTTGTTGTCTCGCAATCTACAACCTGTCTGGTATATCTTCCATCCCACCATTACCGTCAAGCCAGGTGGCATCCCTAGTTTGATGAAAAGTGGAGAAAGGTGTGCTAGGAGCAGCCAGGCATAAAGTGTTAACCTGGCAAAGCTGCAACACAGAACTACTAATGCGCCAAAAAGCAGAAGTAGCAAGTGAAAAACGGGGTTAAGAAATTGCATAAACAATAGATCAGATCTAAGCACTGGAGTCCTACCATACCTAGTCATGAACAAGTGGTGGACAATTAAGCAACTCACATGAAGGGGAGGCTGCACAAATACCTCATCTTCAATGATGGGAATTCAATTCATTAGTACAAAAATTAAGCCTCAAGCATTTACACCATTCTTCAATCAGAAGTGCTGAGTGGATGATCCATCTTGGGGTCCACTGGAGGTCCTAGAAACGCAACTGCCAGTCTTTAGCCAATTTGATTCACTCCACATGATATCAAAAAATGGCTGAAGGCACTGGATTCTGCAAAGGCTAATGAGCCTTGACCCACATTCCAGCAATAGTACTGAATTCTTGCGCTCCAGAAAATTGCTGTGCCACCAGCCAAACTGTCTCAGTACAACTACAACACTGACATCTACCCAACAATTTGGAAAATTGCCCAGGTATGTCTTGTACACCAAAAGCAGGACAAATCCAACACAGCCAACTACCACCCATCAATCCACTCTCGATAATCAGTAAAGTGACGGAAGGAGTCATCAATAGTGCTATTGAGCAATACTTGCTTAGCAATAATTTGCCTTATTGATGTTCAGTTCGGGTTCCACCAGGGTCAGGTTCAGGTCAGTTCCTGATGCAAGTACAGCCTTGGCTCAAACATGGACAAATAAGCTGAATTTCAGAGGTGAGGTGAGAATGACTGCCTTTGACATCAAGGCTGTATTTGACTGTGTGGTGACAGAGCCCCCTAGAAAAGCTACAGTCAACAGGAATCATGGGGAAATCTCTCCACTTATAGGTGTCATATCTAGCACAAAGGATAATGGTTGTCCTTAATGTCAGAAGTTAGGATGTTCACTGATAATTACACAAAGTTCAGCACCATTCACGACTCCTCAGATACTGAAGCAATCTATGTTCAAATGCTGCAAGATCTGGACAATATCTAGGTTTGTGCTAACAAGTGGCAAGTAACATTCTCACCATACAAATGCCAGTCAATGACCATATCCAACAGGAGATCTGGCCATCACTGCTTAACATTTAACGGTAATACCATTGCTGGAGTCCCCCACTATCAAAATCCTGGGGGTTACCATTGACCAAAAGCTGAACTGGACTAGCTATAAAAATACTGAGGCTACAAAAGCAGGTCAGAAGGTAGGAATCCTGCAGCAAGTGATTCACTTCCTGACTCCCCAAAACCTGACCATCATCTGCCAGGGACCCGGGTTCAATTCCACCCTCGGGCGATTGTCTGTGTGGACAATCCCCCCACGTCTGTGTGGGTTTCCTCCGGGTGCTCCGGTTTCCTCCCACAGTCCAAAGATGTGCAGGTTAGGTCATGCTAAATTGCCCATAGTGTTCAGGGATGCCTAGATTAGGGGGGGTTAAAGGGGGCTAGGTCTGGGTGGGATGCTCTGAGGGTCAGTGTGGACTTGTTGGGCTGAAGGGCCTGTTTCCACACCGTAGGGATTCTATGATGATGATCTACAAGCCAACAGTCAGGAATATAGTGGAACACTCACGACTTGCCTGGATGCAGCTCCAACAACACTCAATAAGCTCAACACCGTCCACAACAAAGAAATCCACTTGAATGACATCCATAAACATTCCACCGCCAACCACCACCAACACCCATACCCGACATTACTGACATGCAATAACAGTAGTGTGCGCCAGTTATTAGATACACTGCAGAATTTCACCAAGGCTCCTTAGACAACACATTCTAAACCCACAACAGCTACCATCTAGAGGGGCAGGAGTTGCAGATATCCAGGAACACCATTGCCTACAAGTTCCCCTCCAAACCACTCACCATCCATACTTGGAAATATGTTGCTATACCTTCAACATCACTGTACCAAAAGTCCTGGAACTCCCTCCCTAACAGTAATGCCTTCCCTTACCTACACCAAGTAAACTGAAGCAGTATGTGAAAGCAGCTCATCACCTCATATCAACAGCAACTAGAGATGGACAATAAATGCCAGGCCTGCCTGTGACACCCACATTCCATAAATAAATCAAAAAAATTCTTAAAATCTAACTGTACAATAGAAATAGTTCCAACATACAAGCATATCCACAATTCTTTATATAACAGCTTGAACCAACGGTGCCATCTCAAATCACTGCATGGTTGCTTTGCTGCTGTTGGCTGTCATAATAGACACTTAAAGTTCTCTGTTGCACCCCAAAACGATTGCAGACTGCTTCCCCTCTTGGATTTAATTCAACACGATGGAAATTTAGCTTAGAGAAATATCAAGCACGAACAACTAACAATCAAATTTTAATTTTTAACAAAAAGCAGTTTTAAAAAGGGCATAACAGAGGATGAGAAACTGAAAGTGGACGTGCTCTTTCACAGGAACAGGACCCTTCTTTGGCGCAAGCGAAAGTAAGCTATCACGAGAACAGGGCTGATTTTGTCATTGATGAAGATCTATTTGCAGGAGTTTCTCTGCCCAGAAAAGCACGCGAACCAGGCGGTAGATTATTTGGCCAGATTCACTTAAAGCTAATGGTCAGAGTAAGAAACATTACAATAATCTCCTTCCATCACAACTGTTTTGAAGAGCTTCCAGAAATTACTGCGATATTGTTGATCATATATACGCGACAACAGAGCAACTGCCTGTATGACAGGACAAGACTGGTTCAAGCTGCTGATGTTCTGAGTACCTTTCATCAAGGCTATGGAGAGCTGGTCTGTGTTGAGGTTATTTACATATTTGCCAATATAAGTGTTGAGGACCCAGGCTGCCAGTCCCTCCAACATGGCTAGGTTAGACCGGGGCGGAAGGGGGTTTGGGTTCAAGATGAGATGGTTATGTTGCTCGATGTCTATCTGTGGTCTCCCTCTCACGCCAGCGCTGGGCTCGGCCTCAGGCTCCTGTAGGCGGACAGACGTGCAGCGTTGCTAAGGCCACCTTCGGTGACCAGGCCCACCGCGCACGCTCCGACTCTGACCCATCAACGGCAGAGTTGAGCATGCGTACTCCGCCAACACCTAGGGCCCCGCCCTCCTCCTGCGGGGAAATCCGTCTTCCGCTTGAACTCCCTCCTAAAGCGACTCCAAGCGGCACCTGTTGGCAGCTGCATGCCTCGCAGCCTCATTCCTTGTTAAGGAGAGGAGCAAATTACTGCAGATACTGAAGAGTCATCTAGACTCGAAACGTTAGCTTGCTGTCTCTCTACGGATGCTGTCTGACCCGCTGCGATTTCCAGCACTTCTCTCAGGCCTGTTAAAGATAGCTGCCGATGGCGGCCATCTTTGTAAAGTTCGACGAATTGTCGCGCGGCCGGACGGTGACCATCTTTGTAAAGGCTGACGAATTGTCGAGAGGCCGGACGGTGACCATCTTTGTAAAGGCTGACGAATTGTCGGGCGGGTTGACGGCGACCATCTTTGTAAAGGCGAGTCTTCGATCATATAATTGAGTTGGAAATGATTTAGGGCGGAGAGTTACTGAATGAACTCAAATAAAAAGTGATACTGCGGATGTAATACATCAGAAAGTATCGGAAAAATCTGGGAAATTTCGAGGAAGTCGTTACGAGAGTTGAAATGTTATTTATTGTTTTTCTTTCTCGAGTAGTGCCAGAGCTGTCGACTTTTTCCAACACTTTCTGTTTTTATTAAAGCACGAACTCAACATGTCAACATATGATCTATGGACTGTAAAACAAAATTCAGAGTACAGTAGACATTTAATTTTTATTCTGCCTCTTAAGGAGTTGTACTTTTTGCAACAAATTGTGAACTTTGAAGAAAAATATTTAATTAATTTCCAGAACTATGTTATAAATTACAGTTACTTCTTGTAGATATTTTCTAATCAACCTAATATGACATGGAACCAACTTGAGAATAGGTTATCTTGGATCTGCTAATGGGTAGTGTGGTAGGTTTCATAAATGACTTTAGAGTAAAAGATCCCCTAGGAAGGAATGATCATGACATGGTAGAATTTCATGTTCAGTTTGAGAGACCAGAAGATATAGGAGCAGAAATTGGCCATTTGACCCATTCGATAATGGCTGCAATGTTTCTCAACCCCTGCACTCTCCTGTCTTCACCCTGTAAATCTTGATCCCATTACCAATCAAGAGGGTGAAAAACATAGGTTGGAAACAACTGTGTTTAACTTGGTTAAAGGGAATTGCAATGAAACTAGGACAGAATTGGATAAAGTGAACTGGGTGGATAGATTAACAGGAATGACAGTAAGCAAGTAGTGGCAGATATTTAAGGAGGTAATCCTTGACTCTCAGAATAAAAATATATCCTAGGAAGGAGGAAAGATTCTAAGAGAGGGATAAACCAACCATGGCTAACCAAGGAAGTTAAGTTTCTACCCAAAGACAGAAAATAAACTGTAAGAGCAAACTAATAATGAATACAAATGCTGACAATAAGAGCTTCTTTAAACATATTAAAAGGAAGAGCGAGGTCAAAGTGAACATAGGCCTCTTATAAAATTAATCTGGGGAGACAGTTATGGGGAACAAAGAAATGGCAAGAGTTGTTATAAAGATATTTTGCATCAGTCTTTATGGTGGAAGATACTTCAAACAGCTCATTAGTCCTCCCCCATATTCTTTATTATTAAAATAGTATTAGACAAACTAATGGGGCTTAAAGCAGGTAGGCGTCCTGGCCTTGATGGTTTGCATTCTAGGACCCTAAAAGAAGTAGCTACAGAGATAGTGGATGAGATAGTAAGAACTGCCGATGCTGGAGTCTGAGATAACAAGTTGTAGAGCTGGATGAACACAACAGGCCAGGCAGCATCAGAGGAGCAGGAAAGCTGACGTTTCGGGTCTGGACCCTTCTTTAGAAATGGGGGAGGGGAAGGGGACTCTGAAATAAGTAGAGAGAGGGGGAGGTGATGATGGAAGGTGGATAAAGGAGCAGATAGGTGGAGAGAAGACGGACAGGCCAAGGAGGCGGGGATGGATCCAGTAAAGGTGAGTGTAGGCAGGGAGTTGGAATGGAGGTTGGTCAGTTGGGAGGGAGGGGCGGTGAGTGGGAGGGAAGACGGACAGGTCAAGGAGGCGGGGATGAGGCTAGTAGGTAGGAAGTGGGGGTGGGGGTTGGTCAGTGAGGTGGGAGGAGCGGATAGGTGGGAGAAAAGACGGACAGGTCAAGGAGGCGGAGATGAGCTGGGCTGGTCTTGGGATGAGGTACGGGGTGGGGAGATTTTGAAGATTGTGAAGTCCACATTGAGACCATTGGGCTGCAGGGTTCCCAAGCGAAATATTCCTGCAGCCTTCGGGTGGCATCGTTGTGGCACTGGAGGAGGCCTAGGGTGGACATGTCGTCCAAGGAGTGGGAGGGGGCGTTGAAGTTGTTCGCGAGTGGGAGATGCAGTCGTTTGTCACAAACCGAGCATAGGTGTTCTACAAAGCGGTCTCCAAGCCTCCGCTTGGTTTAATGGATAGTGGATGCATTGGTTTTCATTTTTCAAACTCTTTGGATTCTGGAGAAATACCAGAGGATTGGAAAACTGCCCATGTGACCCACCCGGCCTATTCCTGTTCCTATTTCTTATGGTTTTATAACCTGTTCAGAGACATTATTGTATACCTCCAAGTTAGAGAGGACTTGAATGCAGACCTCCTGAGTCAGGTGTAGGGACACAACCACTGCACCACAAGAACCTTTACTGGTTACTTGTTTTATTTGTATTGTCATGACAATTGACACATTCATCCCTGAATGACTCTCAATAAACTAATTGTCCTCCTATCTGTCCATCCAGTTAGGCAACTTACAACACCTGGACTCAAATATAAGAACTGATGCTAAAAACCTGAAATATAAATCAAAAACTCAAGTTCTGGCAGCAGGAAAAGATTAAAACAGATTTAACATTTCTGATGAAAGTTTCTTGACCTGAAGCATTAATTGTTTCACTGTCCATGGATGATGCCAGTCTTGATGAGTATTTACAGCACTTTCTGATTTTACTTAAGGCCTCAACATTGAATTCAACAATTTCGGATCATAACAATTGTTCTTATTTTTCCACACAGCACATGCTGGCAATTGTTTCACTTGTAGCTATTTAAAAACTTCTCCAGATCCATCTTTTGTTTCTTTATTTGTCCATTACCATCTATTTTTGCCTTGTATCATCACTCTTCTCACAAGCCTTCCTTTTTGTTCTTTCCTCCTCCAGCTTTTCCCAGTCTCAGTCCTTGTTTAATCACGACGCAGCTTTGATTTTTCAGTCATTAACCTGATATGTTAACTACTCTCTTCAGGCCTGCTGAATATTTCTAGCATTTTCTCTTTCTATTTCAGATTTTCAGCTTCTGTGGTATTTTGTGTGTGTAACTGTAAAATTGAATATGGGTTTCAGCTTTTCAGTACATTTATAAATGACTTGGATGAACGTATACAGAGATAAATGTCCATGTTTGCTGACTGCACCCAGATTAATAGCTCAATAACTCTTGTAGATTGGAACAGACAGTTGCAAAAAAAAAATAGATGGTGTAGAGATTGTACGAGGTCAGCCAGCTAGACTTCAGAATGAGTTCCTTGGTTGGGGCTGTTAATCTGGTCCAATCAGGGTGACCTAGCTGACATATAAAAAGGGGCATGTCAAAGATACTGACACTGAGACCTGACTCTGAAGAAGCAATAGTCAAGGACTGTTCATGTGTAAATAAAAAGTGACATGATGACAGATACCGGCCTCTTTGGAGTTATTTCAATAGGTGAGTTAGAAAACCTGTGGTAAACAGACTTCAATGTGGAGAAGTGTAGGTCTATCCGTTTTAGACCTAACAGAGTTGCATAAAAAGTATTTTCTAAATGGTGGGAGGCAAGAATTGTAGAGAAGCAAGGAAATTCAAGGGATCAACTACAGCAATTACTAAATGAGAATGGATAGGTTCAAAAACATTAAAATGATGATTGGTATAATGGCCTTTATCTCAAGGACACTAGAAAACCAAGGATTTGATATTATATTACATTTCTCTATCTCGTATATCCATTATTGATGTATTGAACATTTGGGACAATAACTTTTTGGAAAGGAAGACATGCAAACTACAAGATTGCTAAGAATATAATTTCAGTGGTGTAAAATCTCTGCATGAATTAGACTGAGTCTGAGAAGAGTGTCAAAGGGACTTCAGACAGCAAAATTTCAAAGGGAGAGATGTCATTCAAAAAAACAACTGCGATCTCCATTGGGTTGTGTCTCAGATGGTGGACAAGATAACTTTAAAGAAAGACAGTTATGGGTGAAAAATGTGTTTGTGTTTTATCCTTCTAACAATAAATGGGAAAGGGAATTTTAAAAAAATTGTAACTCCTGGTTTCTGTGTGCTAATATGTCAGAGAGCTGGTGGCCAGCGTACCAGCATATGGTTCCAGTTCCATTCTCCTAAAGTGTACTATGAAAACAACTTAGACCAGACACTCCAACATGTCACGGTAAAAAGAAATTAAGTTTGCCTCTGATTGCTGAAACAGTTCATCAGCAAAGCTACTGTTGGGCAAACTCCACACAGCTAACTGCAGAACCAAGAACCACCAAACAACTACTCAACTGCCAAATTTAACTGCTGGAATCACTGATTGTGAAACACTGCAGGCTTTAGAATCTAATCATCACAAAGAAGCCAAAGATTGACTTTTTATTTTACTTTTACATTTTGGTCTAACCCCTCATTTCTAATCTGTGTGTATGTCTGTATATTTTGTATTTTCTCATGTTAGTAGCTAATAAACGCAACTAATAACTCAAGAAAGCCTAGTTAAATTGGCTCCTTATAAAACTTAAATAAGTTTGACCTAGGAAAAGGTAACCATGAAGAAAGGGATCTTTTCTAAATTAATTTTTTTGAGACCAACCGAGGGAAAGAGTTGAGTAAGGAAGGGAAGCCAGTTCATCTCTTCTCAGTAAGGAGCATTATCATTTGGGAGTATCCTGTCTGGAATTGGAATGAATTGGAGACCCTTGCTCGGAAACCGTTCATAACAATGAGCAATGCAAGTACTTCTTTTAGTGCCAAAGATTAGGGAGTGATCTAATTGTGATGTTTACTAGCATCTGTGTGACAATGTGGAAAATTGCCCGGGCATGTCCTGTACACAAAAAGTAGGACAAATCCAACATGGCCATTTACCACCCCACCAGTCTATTCTCGATCATCAGTAAAGAACTGAAAGCCGTTGGGGTTACAGTTAGGGCCAACAAGCAGCATTTGCTTTTATATAATGTGCTTGTTGATGCTCAGTTTGGATTCCATCAAGGCCACTCAGCTGCTGACCTCAACACAGCAATATTCAAGCATGAAGAAAAAAGCTGAGCTTCACGGGTGAGTGAGAGCGATTGCCCTTGACATTAAGACAGCGTTTTATGGAATATGATGTGAAGGAGTCCTAGCAGAACTAAAGCCAATGGGAATCATGGGA